GATGTTGATTCTTTGTAAATCAAAAATGTACTTTCATCTACTTCCCACTCTACAATTTGAATTCGATTTAAATATCTGTTGAAAAGCGATTTTATTCAAAGAAATAGAAAGTCAGGAATAAAATTATTTTAGTAAATATTAGTTATTTAATAGAAGTTCACAAGTCAAAATTTGAATTGAATCATTTTGATTTAACTATTTTTGTGCGACGATGATCTGTATCATGTAAACCCATGAATTCACATTTTTCACATAAATTACTTCCACAAGCACATTTGTAACGAATACCAATAATCGGTTTCATAAAACATAAATTACATTGTTTATTCTTATGATTGATTTTACTACGATTACTTAAGTAAATTGACTTTGGATATTCATTGGAATCTTTAATACATAATAATGGATGATTGTATTGATGATTCGAATCATAATTTATTCTACTAGTCGACTTGCATGATTGACAAAAATCAATATCTGGACAAAATAAACATCTATAACGATCTCCTTTTATTGGTGACATATTACATCCATTACAAATAACATTTGAATGAATAGTCATATTCGAATCTTGATCATATGTTGTTTTATTTTTTGATTTTTGTTTGATATCATCATCAAATTCTACTTTACAGACATCAATCATTTCTTGATTACTACTTAATCGTAATGTAACAATTTCTTTTTGTTGATTTGATTGCCCATAATATTTATAAATATGTACCATGATTGTTGTTGCACCAGTTAGACTTTGTTGATGATTAGCAAAATATTTTGCTCGAACTGTATATGTACCTTTGACTGCTTTTCGAATTAGATATTCTTCTGGTCCATAGCCCGTTGTAAAATCACGACTTATCATACCACCAATAGCTGTATTTCTATGTGAATAATAACATTCTTCACCTGTCGGTTCAATGACATGTAAGTCAACATCTGTATCATTTGTATCCCAAACCATAACGATTCTTAAATCAACAGGTAAATGTCGAATAAGACGATGATCAATTAAATTTGATATTTGATTTTGTTGATGATATTCAAATATAAACCAATTAAATTCATGTAATGTTGTAAGTTCAATTTCAGTAAAACGATTATCCCATTCGCTAAATATAACCTTCTTAAATAGATCTGATATTTCTGTTATATTCTTATTTTGAATGTTAGATTCTTGTAATACTAATGCTAAATCTCGAAATGATTGTGGTTCATCTGATCTTAAAGTTATAATATGTCGAAAAATATTTTCAGCTAAATTAAGAAGACCAAGTTCGACAAGTTTATAAGCAACAGTTCGTAATAATTGTGATGATTCTAATTCTAATTCTAATACATTTGTTAAAATACGTAAACCTAATAATTCATAATTATCATTATCATTATTATGATGAGTATCATGTGAAAATGTTTTAATACCAAAAATAGAAATTGAATGATGTTTATTAAATATATCAATTGATGATGATGATGATTTCGATATTGATGAACGAGCTTTTGAAAAAAAATAAGATGCTATATCAAAATAGAATGATGGTGATTTTAAATATGATTGACGTTCATCTAAATAAATTTGATAAGCTTTTTGTAAATCAGTAGTTGATTTAATTTTGTCTATGTAAGGTGTTTGGGGATCCCAATTTTGAAGAGTAATTGAATGAGCATGAGTAGCAGTATTTCTATGATGAACAATAGTAGATCTATCATCGTCCAAACATGCCTCTTGTTCTTCATCATAGAAAGTCAGTTCTGCATTGTTGCTCAATGCGGAGTAACGTGATTCTAATCGTGATAATATCTCTGGTTCAAAAGATCTCCGCAAACTTTTAGTTGCTAACTTGTTAGCTCCCATTGCATTCTCCATTAGACGTCCTGTTGTTTTAAAATGGCACGAAGACGTACTAAAATTTAGTCGATCGCGGAATATTGACATCGAATGTATATTCATATCATGTGGATTAGAAGTTTTCCTTTTGAATGCATTTGTACGATCTTCGTCTATTATCTTTTTATCGTACCATGTGCAACGCGCTTGCCATAGATTTAAAATAGCTATTAATTTAGTTTGACTTTTTATTGATTCTTGTTGTGTTTTATTTTGTTGATATTTTATATAATCATTGTATAATGTTTTACGTGATGGATGTGGACATATATTATATTGAATATGTTGTTGTAATGTTTCTAAGACAAGTATAGATGTAAAATCATTGACAATAGAATATTTCATACCAATTTCTAAAATATGTTGTTTATTTTTTTTCTGGAAATGCTATTAATTCACTTAACATTTGTTTTGCATATAAACGACGTAATAATCCATAATTTTCAAATGTCAAATTTGTTTTATCTATTATTAATTCTTTACGATGTATTTGATTTGAAATAGAAAAATTAATAGAAATTTTAGCTGAAATTGCTGATGACATTTTTCCAACAAGTATAAATCTTTCTGAATTTGATGTTAAAATAATCGAATGACTTGGATAAATATCATGAATATTGGTATCATTGATAATATCTGTATTAATATATCTAGATTGTGGTTTATCAATCAATTCAATAATAATTTTTGCACTATTTTGAGCTATAATTTTATCACGTGAAATATAATTACCACCACTAGTATTAGTTAAATAGTTAATCAATGAAAAATTTGTTGGTTCATGTACACTATTTGCATTAAATATCCATATTGGTTTAGTTGTCAATTGATTCAACAATGTTGGATCATCATTGCTTATTGTTGAAAGACAATCACTAAATAAAAAATAATGTGTAATATTTGGTATACTAGTTGAAATTGTAGATAATTGAAATAAATTTGTTGCACCATCATATGATAGATTTGTTAATAATTGATTAAGTTTTGACCAATAATTTTTATCATGTATTTGAAATATATTTGGTTCTTCAATTATATTTCGAAATATAATTACAGTTATATTTACATTAATATTATTTGATTGCCAAATATCTAATATATTTTTGAGTATATTTATTTCATAATTACGATTTTCAATATTTGCTCGACTTAAACTAGCATCCCATAATATACAAATAGACATTGTTTGTTGATTAGCATTTGTGATTTTATTGTTTTGCAGAAATGGTGGCATATAACATAGAGCAAAATAGGCTTGATTATGATCATCAGGATCAATTTCTACATCATACATGACTTCTTCTTCTACTAAAGTTCTTAACATATATGTAATAGATTGTTCATCTTGTGATGGTTCAACATTGACAAGATGAAGTTCAGAACAGTATTTACCATTTGAATTGATGAAAGATTGATTAAATTTAATATTTGGAAGAAATTCTGGTTGACGATGATTTGATGTATGTGCACAAATCAATGAAATATCCAAATTTTCAAGAATATTAGTAAAATAGATAGGAATATGAAAGAGAAAATAATCATTTTCAATTTGTGCTTGATCTTGATAAATAACACGTACTATTCTTTTGCCACCAGGTTGTATTGGATAAACTCTTGTACGAAAAATATTTCCTTGAACATTTTCTACTAATCCAGGATCAACACCTTTTCGAACTTCTTTTTCAAATGTAATACGAGCTTTTTCTTTTTCAACAACAACACCATCAACAATAACACCATCAACATCAAGACCTATAATAGAAAATGTCAATTTTTATTGATCATCAATTATAAAATTATTCACCAAATCCACAAATTATTCCTTTATCAGGTAGTGTAAATTCTAAAGCTCCTTCTAATATTCGATTATAATTATTTTTAAATGTCATTGTTGTTGCTACTTGATGTATGAGTGGAAATGTTGCATTCACTTGCTGTTCGATATGTAATTTAATTAATTGTAATGGCGTCGAAGCAGCATCACCAAATTTCGTTTGACGACCAAAATACATTGGAAATGATGAACGATTGGTATCATCGTTGAAGCGTAAAGCCATATTGGATTTTAGACAATTATGAAAAATTCAATGATCAACTACACAAAGAAAATGAGAGACATACATGTTTCGCATGAGTATATGTACTAGGTTGGAAATAATATTTTGCTAGGTAGATATCACTATAATTTCAAATAGAAGATATAATAAATTTTATATTAAATGAAAGCTCGTCAAAAATGGGATTTATTGATATTAAATCGTAAGGATTATGAAAATTTTTTAACATCGAACTTAAGAAACTTTCAGATACTTTATACTTTTTTTTGTAGTGGAAAAGTAAAGTGTCAGTAATTGAAAAATGGATTAAAATGTTTTTCTTGGATATTTTTACATGATTCGATAGAGATTGTCAAGCTCTAAAAAAACTGTATATATTAAAAATTTTTTAAACAAAGTTGTTGGGTTAAAATTCACTGAAAACCGTCTAAAGAGTGTACCAAAAAACCCGTATTTTTTTTACACTTTTTATAGGGAAAAAAGTGGTCTTTTTT